TATATATCAACTCTCATCTTTACCCAAAGAAGAATGCAGATCTCCACAGCACGTACAGGACATAGAAATACATCATACATCTCCACACACCCACATATTCAAGGGTTTTATGTTTTAAAAATGTTAGGGAAAGAACTCTGCAACTCTCTGTGAACTGGAGTTAACTTCCTCACAGATGTGGATGTATTGACTTTCCATTGAAATATGGAACTTTTGTTGCATTAAGTGAGCAATAATTTGCAGAGCTTCCTCCAAATCCCACTGACAAACACCAAACTAGATATGGCACTTTCTGGACTTAATATTGTGCTGTAAATATGTGCAAATTATTTTAGTGTTTGGCTTCAATATTTGCTGTTAAACTGAATGACTGGCTACTGGTTACCCTGCTGCAGTGATAAAGAATCCAGAAACCGTACAACTGAGAAAACAGTCACAGTGATTCATCCATCGCAATGTATCTTTCCAATATCCTGGGTTTTTTTCCACATTTTTTCAGTCTTTTTTGAGCAAGATTTGATACCACTTGTTATTTGAGGTTCAAATTTGTCATATGCTTTCCTGCGCATGTAAGAACAAACGCATGTGAAAACATGACAGACTGTCTCTCTCACAGACCTGTTGCAATGACTAATTTACTATCAGAAGGCATGGTTCAGAAAACCATATAAATTTGGTTAGTGGAAGGACAGAGGCAATTTGACTTGCCTCAGTGCCCTACTGCTCATGCTTCATGATTCTTAAAAAACTGTATCATGTCTGATGATGGTCCTCTAGGGCTATAGTAAGGCAAACTTTGAATGGACGGTTAGATAAGGTTGAGAAAAAAAGTCTGATGGGCCAAACAGAGAGCTGATGTTTTCAAATATTAGTTGTACTGATAAGAGATATTCCTCCTTCCTGTATCATCTTACCATTCTTCATTTACATACAGCCTACGTGTTTTCCTCTTGTTCTCTTATATGACATACAGATATATAAAGATACAGTAGCAGACCAATTACTGCTAGAGTTTAAAAGCATCATTGCAAGTGTTATTTAAAACACATCTTTCCAATTTTGGTGAAATATCCACTTAATGCTTTTGCAGCCTGGCTTTAATTCCCTAAATGATGTCACATCCACCTCAACTCAAAGTAATAGTTTTTCTTTATATAGCTTATTTCCATGTCTTCACTCTAACACATGGATTTTATTTCCTATACAGAGTATTACTGTAATGATCAGCTTTCGTTCTCTCCAAACAAATATTCAGTAAATCAGCCTCCTTTGTATTTACATTTCTTCCTCATTTATTTTCCCAAATCACTACCTATTAAAATGTGTCTGGAAAAACATTTCTTTTTCACTTTCTATGCGTGCTTTGCAATCAATCTTTTTTCAGAGTGAAAATAATGTCAGACATTACAATGTGCTTCAAAATTATACTAAGCCAACCTCCACAGTACAGATTGTAATAATAATTCTGTTTTTCTATTTTTGTCCTTTCTTCCCATCAGCAATTTCTCTACTGAAGAATATTTCAGGTGAATCCAAGAAAGCTTCACTTGTCAAATGTGCCATCTTGCTTTTAGCTTAACTTCAGAACTGTTGAGGGAAGACTGCAGCTAGATGGCAATGTGCCAAACAAAAGAATCAACATAAAAAGATGATTTCTAAAGATTCGTGACAGAGCATGCCCTAAATAGCATGAAAATCTGAACAAAAACAAGTTAATGGCACATAATCCATAATATCACTGCAATTGACATGTTGTGGCCATGTGGTAAATAGAGCAAGGGTAATTACAGTTTTCTATTTCTTCTAGGTTCTAGGAGCGACTCTGCCCTAACCATCCTCCATTTATTATGTAAAACAGAAATGGTGCCATCTGCCTTGGTCTGAAGGACATTGTAAATACATGTTTTAACTTAAGATTCTCACTGAAACAAGAAAGGTACATGACACAAGTGTGAATGTTTACTGAACAGGTAAATATGAAATTGAACATAGCATACAGCCTTCTGCTGTATGTATAAAAACACCACACAGCAATAGTTACTAACTGAGAACTACAGTTACTTAGTTATTTAGTGAGAACTATTGGGGATAGGTGGATGGTTGGACTGGATGATCTTGTAGGTCTTTTCCAACCTTGGTGATTCTGTGATTCTGTGATTCTGTGAAATGGCACACACAGTCCCTCGAGGCTGGCCATAACAAAAGGATGAGTCAGGAGTCCTGCAAAGTGAAAAGAACCCTTCTGCACAAATAACCATGCAACTCCAGCACTGCTCTACAGTAGCACAGCCTAAGGGCTAATGGAGCTTCACACTTGCTTAATGAACCGTTTCAGCCTAAGGACTACAACATGCCCAATGACGAATTTGCTCCCCCGGTGGTCAGAAAAAGAAATCCCACTCTGTGCAACAGCTTTGTTCTTTCCATGGCCTAACTACATGGTTGAACTGCTTTCTGCGTATTTACTACAAACAAGAAAGGAAGAAACATGCTATGTTCAACTGTAAACTACTTTGACCTTTCCAATTGTTTTTTTTTGGTTTTTTTGTTTGTTTGTTTGTTTTTGTTTGTTTGTTTGCTTTGGCTCTGTATTGGAGTTGCCTTAATACCTAAATACACTGGCTGCTACCTTTGCTAGTGCGGGATCTGTTACCATTTCTGCTTTAAACTCCATTTTGGCTGGGACAACCAATCATAGCAGAATGAGGTATAACTTTCCATTGTTAAATGCTTTAGGCACATTGCTTTTCTTTTTTTCAATCAGTTCATCCAGTTTAAGCTTCCAAAGCAGAAATAGCAGTTAAAGTTTCTTTTTATAGTTCTGCACTTTAAAATCAAGTTTCACATGAAATCTAAAGCTTGTCCTGCTGTAATTAATCATCTGCCCAAAAAACACGTTAAATATATCTATCTACTGTATGAATTGTTGTGCTTTTAGTGTGCGTATGATACATAATGCTTTTTTGCATTCAAGCAATCCAGGAAAATGCCTTTTCTATTGACAAGCCTTCAAGGTGGAGGATCACCACATTATCACAATCAGAAGACAGCTTCTTTGATTATCAGGAAGACAGGAAGAGATTCAGGACATCGTTTTGCTGAAAACCCTTTGGGTTTTGTTTACTACCCTGATCAAATCCAAAGATGGCTGCAGAAGAAGTGACTAAGACTGCATGCCAAGATGGGAGAACCTGCAGGCAGTCTTAGGGTCCCAACAGCCTTTTGGAACAACAGCACCTCCCTAAAACATTACCAAACTGGCAGATGTTTTTCCTTTTCTCTTTGTGGAGAATCAGGGATCTGTAAGAAAATAAAATATGAAAAAAAAATAACTGAAAAGTTTAATTTAAAAGCACAAAAGTAAGAACTATCCATGTCCAATCCTGTCACATCCTTCTTTTAGTCCTCCAGCTACTCTTCTTCCAAAAATTCTTTAAATTAAATAGAAGCACACTGAATGTTTCAAAGAAAGTCACTAGCAGAACAAATGTATTCATGAAAAATAAACAACACTCAAATAAGGATTTTTAAAGTAAAACTCTCACTACAGATTTATCTGTCCACTTTCAGATATCTGGTGCAATTGGATCAAATCCTCAACAGAAAAGGAACAAACAGCATTTGCCTTGCTTTCTAGAACAAACAAAATATGTGTGCAATGGCCTCAGGTTATATAAATACTATTTCCCTACACTTATGAGAAATATTTACTTCTTTGTTAACTAAAACTATTCTGATACCTTTGGCAGAGAATGTTCGTGACTCTAAAGTCATGAAGTATGGATGCCTAAAAAAGACTATTTTGCCCCAGAATAAAGTAAAATTTTCAGAGTTCATCAAACCGTTAGCACGTATCCATTCAGCACAACATAAAATCATGGAATGGTTTGGGTTGGAAGGGACCTTCAAGATATCTATTTCTAACCCACTGTCATGGGCAGAGTTGCCATGCAGTTCAGAAACAGAACTACTGCTACTTTGCAGAGACATTAGGCATGGCAAGTTTGAGATTTGGGGTGGAAAAGGTCACCCTACAACATACTAATTTTTGCAGAATTTTTCTACTTGGCCATTTTTTCTTGTAAATCTGTGCTTTCAACAACTGCTCTCATTAGTGTAGAATAAGGTGATGCTTGGAGAAAGCTTTCCACCAACCCATAGCCCTAAATTGACAAAGCATTTAGCCTAAAGAGCAAGACAGCAGATTCCTTCTTTATTAATTTAAATAGAGCACTTGAGCACCAGTGCAAGGTCCTTCTGCAGCTCGGTTTACATCCAGTGATGGTCCAGAGGTGGGAATAGGGATTAGAACCTGGGTGGTATGTAAAAAACAGTATTTTGCCAGCCTTTTCATTAGACTCTCATTTCAGACTTAATTGTAGAGACGGCATAGCTGAAAACCTTTAACTAATTCTCTGCGGTGCACAGCAAGCAGCTTGACCAACCATCCAGCCACCAGTTTGAACAAGACTTGGGCTGGAATGTGGTTATTAATCTGGTTGCGAGTCCTAAGCCTGGAGCCTGTGGTGCGATTTGGAGGGGGACAAAAAAGAACAACCACAACACCGATGTGGCACAACAAAAAGGCTCAACATTTTGCCATCCTCCCCCTCCCTCGGTTTTGAGGGAAAAGAAGGAGGGAAAGAGGGGGCCAACCGCCATTTCACGACCGCTCCCCTCCCGCCGCTTCCCTGAGGGGAGCTGTTGCCCCGAGGGAGCTCCCGCCCTGAGGCGAGCCCTGAGGCGCCGCGGCCGCCCCGCCCCGGGTACCCCCCGCCTCCCGCCTCTCCCCGCCCGCCCGCTCGCTCGCACGGCGACGCGGACAGGGCCGCCGCGCTACGGCGGGCAAGGCTGGGGCGGCGTCAGCGGGCGCGCGGTGCCGGCCGCAGGGCTTTAAAGCAGCGTGTAAGCCGAGATGCTACCACAGACAGCGGCGCGGCGGCGGCGGCCGCAGCAGCTCCACGAGCCCAGCCGGCCGCGGGGCGCGCGAGCCGGGACCCATGGCGACGTCCCGCGCTGCCCGCGCCCTCCTCCTCCTCCTTCTCCTGCTCTGCCTGCCCGCGCTGCGGCGGGGGGCGCGGGGCGGCGGGCAGCGGCCGCGGGGCTGTCCTGCGCCGTGCCGCTGCGAGCAGGAGGGCATGCTGCTGCGCGCCGACTGCTCCGACCTGGGGCTGACGGCCGTGCCCGCCAACCTCAGCGCCTTCACCTCCTACCTGTAAGTGCGGGACGGGAGGGGGTGACTTCCATAAGAGCCGAGCGGCTTTTTGAGCAGCGGGCGGGCTGTAAGGCGTTTATGGGCGTCTCGCTGTTTCCGCGCCCGCTTCGGTGTCTGTAGAGGATCGCCATGCGATGTGCCGTTCGGAAGCTAATTAACAGCGGCTGCAACAGCAGAAACTCGATTAGATCCGCGGGGACGTTATCTCTACCTTCTCTTCCCGGGACAGCGCCGTGAGCTGCGGCTGCTGCCGGCGCGGTTAGCGGCTGAGAGCGGCGGGCAGGTGGCCGGGCCGTCCCGCAGCCGCCGCTCTGCCCCGAGCACTGCGGCACGGAGCCTTGCGCCGGCGCCAGGTGAGCTCCGCGCTGCGCCGCGCCGTGCGGGGCGGCCGGGGCAGAAAACTGCTGCATTTCTTGTAATAACAGTAGTAATTCCAGGGAAACTTTCTTTCTTTGCTTGCTTATGAGATGGCTCGTCGTTAAGCCTCGCTTGGTTTTGTGTTTGTGCACGGTGTCCTAGTGCCCTTCGTGGTGATTTCACACAGATCTTCGCGGCTGCTTGTCCAGTAGCTTGTTAGTGGGATGCTTCTCCGTATCCAGCACTTCTTGTGTCTGTCTTGTCCACCTGTGTGTGACTGCTGACATCCGCGCTACTGTGGCTGCTGTGAAGATGCATTCCCAGGGCTGCGTGCCTGTGTGGTCCTGACGTGGTAATTCTGAGCTAACTTGTCACTGCTGTGCTTCAGAGGGCATAGAACACACATTGCATCTGGGGAAGTGGATGGAACTCAGCTAGAAATGACAGACGTGTCAACATAGGCAAGGTAGAAATGAAATTCAACCAATAAAACGTGTTTTAGAAGAGAGCTTAGTTGAGAGAAAATAGTGGCTTTGAAAGAGGGTGTGCAGCTGAAAGCCTTTTCTTTCTGCACATCAATACTTTTCTGGAATTTATCTTCATAAGATCAATTTTAGCTTATTTTTATCCTAAACATTTCAAAGTCAAAGCTATTAGTGATGTTAAAAAGCGGAAGCCCATGGTATTTAATGGCTGCTTACAGCAGAGCAGAACTTGGCTGCACACAACTGAAATGCAGTCTTTAAGATGCGCACAGAATTTTTCACTGGTTTCTCAAGCAGCAGGTGAGGATTTGGGGCACACACATGACTTAATACTTTCTTGTGCTTGGGAAAGTCATTACCAGAGAGAAAGTCATTATACGTAATGAACGTATAATGGCATACGTATTTAAACTGTACATGTCCTGTGTCAAGAAGAAGATGCTCTAAACTCAGTACTGCTTGTAGGAATGCTAAAATTGGAAAGAAAAAAAAAAAAAAAAAAAAAAAAAAAAAAAAAAAAAAAAAAAAAAAGACAAAACAAACCGAACTTCTGAGAGCCTACTGTTTGACTGTTTTATGAAGAGAAAAAGAACATAAATATGCATGATGATGTCAAAACACCACTGCTGTGCACGTCTGCTGTTCAAAAGCTGTGTGTCTCCAGCAATCTGCTTCTAAGCAGACTTATGACCTGCTCCACACTTTTGTTTTCTCAATCCTCTTGTCCTTTAGTGGGAGAATGTCCTTCTCTAGTCAATAATTTTGTTCTGCTCAGTAGCATGCACCCTGAAGTGTAAAAACTCCACTGCGGGGCAGGCAAACTTCTAAGTGACCTAGGCTGTTTGCATGCATGCGGTAGTCAAGTGGGTAGAAGACTGGTGCATACGTTGGTGCATCCACACTTACAAGGCTGTTATACTTGGATTGATTAATTATTGCCTAATTATGCAGAGCTGTAGCTCCTGACTGCCTTCTGTACAGAACTGCCAGGACTCATTTTCTTTAGATGGGTAAGCAATGGTAAATTTAAAACATTCCTGTTTGTTATAGAGATGTTTCCTTCCATAAGCTTTGTGGCCCAACCAATTGCTTCTTGATTTATTCTTTTGCCTTTGGTTTTGTTTTCTGAACAAAACAGAAATGTCTTTTTTGTGTTGCGACAATTTTTGCTTTAGAATAAAGCAGGAAGTTAAAGCTTTATGCTCAAATTAACTCTCTTTCCAGCAATCTGGAAGCAGCATCTTCTCCGGCAGATTCCCCCATAGTACAGTGTATACATCTGGCTAAAAACTGCCTGTGGTATTACCTTATGCTAAGACTGTGTTTGAGTTTTGGTTGTTTGGTTTTTTTTTCTGAATTTCTATCATTCATGTCTCATTCACTTGCATAGGGAAGAAAAAAAAACCAAACACGATATCTTGTTGTATGCTGGATATTGTGTGAAAATGTCAAATACCAAAGCCACATTTGTCTTATGCTGGGACAAACATCTACAGATGATGAAATGTCATGGTGCCTAGATTCTGCTTTTTGTATGAAGGTGCTCTTGCAGTAAAGCCAAATGTAGTCTACAGCTGGACCTGTTGTATGTTTCCACATTCTCTTATAAAGTTTCAATCCTTGTTCCCCCATCAAAAATAATTTCACTGATGCTTTTGTATCTGCTGCCATGAACTGTTAGAATTTTAAGAACAGACAAGGAGAATCCAGGAGTTTCTCGCCGTTTCTTCTTCATTTGCTTCTAGGCTAAATAATGTGTATGTAACATACAGTGTATGTAATGCAATTCCTGTTGACATTAATGTGAATTCCATGTGCTTGTGAAGGGCAGCACTGAGTCTCTGTTTCAAATTAAGAACATGTCACTTTCCTATCAGTACGCAGTGAAAAGAAGAAGCCAGGATCTACAAGTCTGTGGCACAAGGGACCTCATTAATTCTCAAACCAAGCCTGTGAGTTAGTGAAGTATTATTACCATTTATTGTGATGTGGAAAACTGAGGCAAAAAAGGGGGTTGCTCAAAGTTAAAGTTTATGACAAAGTCAGTAATTAAAGCCAGAATACCTTATCCCAACTCCATTCTTTAACCACAGCCTATTTCTCCTACATAACTGCTCATTAAAAATAGCGTAAGATTTGCCTACTCCTGTTCAAGAATATTTAATATGACAAGTATATTAAAAAAAAAAACTGTTTCATATCTCTTGTGATGACAATCCAGAATATAGCATTTAAAGATTCTGAGGGTCTTTGTTATATGGTTGGATAGCACAGAAAAGAAAATCAATCATAAATGCCAGTGCTGTCTGGCAGTTCAGCTGCTGTGCTCTTCATGATCAGAAACTTTCCATAAAGCCCTTAACAAGAAACTCTGAAGTGGAATATTTTCATAATGTTACAACCTTGGATTGATACAGATGTATGTACATACATGGGTAACTATCACAGGATATGGTGTATTACCTTTTCCATCATGGTTTACTTAATATGTTATTTCAGGATAAGTGTTAATCACATTTTAAAAATGCTACTTTTGAGTACATTGTAAGTCTGCATAGTAACATTTAGAAAAATCTGGTTCATGTCACTGTTAATCCTTTATAGGAATTACTTGTTAAAAAGATATTCTTTTTAAAAACTGTGTTAACACTGACAGTATTACAGTAAAGCCTATGAATATCGTAAGTTTTATAATACATTCCTTGGATAAACTTTGGCCTTCTGTTTCATTCATTTCCTTAATATTGCATTTAATAATAATTATTTCTGTAAAGCACACTTGAAGTTTTTGAAGGTCTTTGAAAGTGTTTAAGAGAACTCAATATTAAAAAAAAAGACAATTCTGGGAGAAAAATTATTTATCTTGGAAGGTTAAAAAGTACATTTGCATAAATTATCTGCACTTCTGAAATGAGACGGTGGTTTCTGTGTTAGGAATATACAAAAACATGAAGCCAGACTCTCTGGGGTAAGTTTGCCCTTTTTTATTATCACATTCTAATATCACAGTGCAAGATCAAGATCTGTATACCTCTTCATCTAACGTACCATGGGAATGACTGCAGTGTTTCGGGGAGATCAGACAGCGAGGTATCGTCGTAAGCAGGAGCAAGCTCTTTAAAGTCTCTTGCAACTTGCAGATCCCTTGACAAGTCCGAGGTGTTAGGTTGCTAGTAAAATGCCTGCCTTTCCTTAGAAAGGATTTCTTTACATAGCTACAAACTTTATAAACCATTTTTTCTCCTTTCTAGTTGAAGTACATTAAATGTTCAGCATGTGGTTTCAGGTCATAATTTGAGTCTCGTCCTAGTGAGAGATGAAGGTAAATCCAGATTCTGGGTTTAGAATTTGGTGTTACATTCCCTTTTTGAAACAAAAACTCCGCTCATGGCAATGGTTGGTATAGAGAAGTAAAATGTATGCATAGGTAAATCAGAGATGCATGAAAACCAGGCAAGTGACAACCTATTTAATGTTCCTGTTCATCAGCTTCCAAGGGACTTGCTTTAAATTTCAAAACATAATGTGTCAACTCTCAGCTAGTTTCTTTGTGAAAAAATTTAGATTGAGTTTGACAGTGTCGCTCTTCACACTGGAGAATACGGTGCTCAGATTAACTCCTTACACTGCTCTGAGTATAAAGGCTGAGCAGCCTTGTGCTGCTCAGAGGGGAAAAAAGGCGCTCGCGCTACATCTCTCCTTTGTAGCATTTACTGTGTGGAAATGCTGCATAAATTGACAGGGAAAAGGAAGCTCTCTTTAGGCTGGTAGAATACAAGGAGCTGGCAGGGTGGAGGCACCTTCAGTTCGGTTTGGTGTCTGAAGTGCACAGGACAATTGGCCGGGCAGAGGGGGCCCGACTCCAGCTGGGAACGCGTGCTCCAGGCTGACCTTCCCAGCCAGCATGCCAGCGGAGATTAGACTTCCCTCAACTGCTCCCTTGTTAACCCAGTCTTTGCTCTGACACGATTTGTCTTCCAAATATATAAAATTGCTACTAGTTTTGCTGTCTAGATCTTTCTTTTGTTCTGTGTTTGCTGGCCAAAGATAATATTTCATCCACATGCACTGCTTTCCTAATTCTCTGTTGATCATTTAAGTGGTCTCGATTAATGCGATTTATGGTATTTTCCTTCACTTACTTCCTTGAACTGTCCA